CGTTGTAAAACAAGCCAATTCACTTCGTGAACTCGGCAACCAGGTTATCGTTTTTCTTTTTTGACCTCTGTTTTTTTTTTGGCGGTAACCGTAATGGTGGTCGAGTAGATCACGTTGTGCGGGGTGGAGAACCCTCACTCCGCGCAAGGGGGATGATCGCACCACGTTGTGTTAAAATGGTCAAGCACCCTCGAGGCAGTTACACAGTGCTTACAACTGTCTCTGGAAGTGAAAGCACCAGAAAATAAATTAATTCATACGCAGCTGTCATCCGTACGCAAGGAAGTAAGCACAAGATGCCGAAAACCCTTAGCAGGATGCAGCGCACCCTTCATGCGACTCGCCGAATATCTCACGGCGCTTCGCGCTTGGTGATGTGAGAGCCTGGTCCGGTGAGAACCCGGCGTGCTCCGTCCCGGCTTTGTAGGGATGCGAGGTCAATGGTCTAACGACTACGGCATGCACGGCTATGAGTACACCCCCCCCCTTATTGCAGTGTTTTCGACGTGTTCATGTGGATACCACAGCACGTCTGCTACTCCTTGCCTTGACGAGCACAAAAGTAGGCACGGTAGCGATCTCGAGCTTGGCGCTAACCTCCGGTACTGCCTCCGCCTCCACCTGCGGCAGCGAACGACAGGGATGATCAAGTCCATCCTCGAATTAGCCCCCAAGGCGGTTGGCAAAGAACTCACATCGGTAGTCTGAGGGCAAGAGTGAGAACGCGATGCCCTACATGTCAACACCACGTCGGCTACAAGGATACGGTCAAAGCCGAAACCAATAGGGGCCGGCTGTTGGTACCTTCTCCACAGCCTAGTATCTCGTGTGTTGCCCATACGCCAACACAGTGGTTAACTACCGTTGTCAGTAGTGGACGAGGGCCCTTTCTAGATAGCCACTCCTCCTGACATCGGCTGACGCCCCCCCGATATCCAAGAGGGACCCGTCGCCATGGATGAGCATCCTGCACGTTCTTGGCTTGGTAATGCAATGCGTACAAAATGTGCTGCTGGCACATATCGAACACACGGCATTGTTGAGGCCACGTCCGTTTGATGGTCAATGGGTACATTTGAGAGCGTTCCCTTACCTTGACGCAATGCACGGCTCCTCGGTGCAGCTCGGCCAACTGGGAGAACACCTGGGTGAAGACAAGCAGTGCGTGTTGTGTAAGCAAGCATCACCATAACGCCCACGGGCCAATGAAGTTAAACACAACGGTACTGCTGGAGTGCAATGGTAATGTGGGGAACCGCACCGGCTGCGAGTGCAGCTGTTCATTGTTGGATGCCGTTGTTGTGCGCGACTCCTGTATGCATATGAACTGTAACGCCCGGCCAATTTCGTTTGATTTTTTTCACCGGTCACCCACTACAATGTAGCATTAGGGTGTGAATACCGCGATGGTGTTGTACAGCAGTAGCTTTGATCGGTCCGTGCATATACTTACAGAAAGTACATAGAGAGACACAGCTGCTTTCTTGTGCACCTCTCGGAAACCATTGCAATAATGTGGAACGTGCCTCCGTCCCGGACAACGTGGTACGTACCAAAATGTTTATAGTCCTAGACTAATGTTTTCTCTAGCAGTGACCCTGCGTCCAGCAGAAGAACAACAATAGAAGACACCAAGGTCGACAGCGAGTCAGCCGTGCTACTGCTGTAGTCAATCATAGACGTACGTCCTTGCGATCATTCGTGTTCGGTGAACTCGGCAGACGTCGGAGTCCGGCAGTAGATTGGTCGACATGCAGTAACAGAAGGCAGTGTTCGAAACACGTGATGAAATGATGGGAGGAGGCATTTACGCGTTGCACTTCGAACTTCATCATTCATGCGACAGGGCGACAAAAAACACTTCCCAACCACACACCATGAGACAGGGCGGTACACAGCGGTACACACCGCTGCATGGAGCACACAGCACACACAGAATACTCAAACTGATGAACTTACCTCGTCCATCTGTCCGCCCAGCTTGCTTGGCTCGTGCCATGCGGCCCAGAAAAACACGCATGCTTTCGAAGAAGATTCGATGGCTGAGTTGTACTCAGCCAGCGTCTTAATTTCAGCCACGGCACCACCCATCGCCTTGCTTTCGTCAGACCGTCGCTGCGATCGCTGCTGCACGCGGGGGATGACGAGATCTATGGAGCAGCACCTGCCTCCATCTGAAAGAATATTTGGAGTTG